TCCAGCTCTACACCTTGTCGTCACAGATTCTCCAGCATCTGCAGTTCCTACTATCTCTGGAGCAAATTTCTGTGTTTAATGTGTGCCAATGTACCACCTTTATTTAAGGAAGGGAAGACTAAAAATGGGTAACTATAGGTCAGTCAGTTTAATGTTAAAGAGTTTATAATAAAGAATGAGACAACAGAGTATTTATAAATGCATTGTGTGATCAAGCAAAATCAACATGGCTTTACGAAGGGGAATTCATGCCTGTCAAATTTACTAGAATTCATTAAGGAGGTAACAAGCAGGATAGACAAAGGGGAAGTAGTACATGTAATAGATTTGGATTTTCATAAGACGTTTGATAAGGTGCACACATTAGGCTACTCAGTAAAGACTGGAGCCCATGGTGTTGGAGATAGTATATTAGCATGGATTGGCTAACTAATAGAAGACAGAGATTTTAGATAAGACGGTATTTTCAAGATGGCAACCTATAAGTAATGGAATGTCACTGGCATCAATACTTGAGGCCACAATTATTTACAATATATGTTAATGACTTTGGTGAAGAAAGTGAATGTACCATAGTCAAGTTTGAGGATGTCACAAAAATAGGTAGGAAGGCAAGTGGTGAGGATGACACAGAATCTGCAGAGGGATTAAAACTTGGCACTTGGAATATAGTGTAAGGAAATGGCAGGAATAGAATATTATTTAAATGCAGGAAGACTGCAGAAAGCTACAGAACAAAGATTTGGGAGCCCTCGATAGCATCCAAGTTCAGTGGGTAATAGGGAAAGCAAATGGAATGTTAGCTTTTATTTCGAAGTGAGCAGAATATAAAAGTATGGAGTCAGAGATAACACAGTGTGGAGCTGGAGGAGCACAGTGGGCCAGGCAGCATCAGGGGAGCAGGAAAACTGACATTTCGGGTCGGGACCCTTAAATACAGATAGGATGGAGTAAAATTATAGGTGGAGGTTGTGGATCCTGCAAAGAATGAAAAACCGAAGAGGTCCTTTGCAGGTCTGGGAGAGGGAGGCTCTGAGCTGGGGCAGGGTTGATTGCAGTGCCAGAAGATGCCGGCACATTGCTGACAGCATGTGCTTGAGGAGCCACAGAGAAAACCATTTTTGGAGGATCTGGATGTTTTGTACGTAGAGGTTGTTGCGGTCAGGGCCAAATTGAGATGGCCTGAATGTAGACTGGAGTCCATTGGGGATGATCCGGTTCTGTAGGCAGGTACTGAGAAAGGCAATGTAGCTGTAGTACCTGATATATGGTCGAGCAGTTTCAGGGCTGAAGAGATTACCAGAGGGTTGCAGTGGGAGAGAAATCCACTGAGCGCTTTTCAGAGGAAGGAGGATAACTTCTTCAAGGCAGGCATCCCTAGAAGAGGCTTCGCAGTGGGATTATAATTCACTTGGAGATAGCAAGAACTACCGATGCTGGAGTCAGAGATAACACAGCATGGAGCTGGAAGAGCACAGTGGGCCAGGCAGCATCAGAGGAGCAGGAAAATTGATGTTTCAGGTTGGGACCCTTTATAAAAGTATGGAGGTTTTGCTAAAACTGTATATGCACCAGTCAGACCACAGCAAGAATACGATGAATAGTTTTGTCCCTCTTATCTAAGGAAAGATATACTGACATTGGAGGCAGTGCAAAGAAGGTTCGCTAGGTTGATACCAGGTATGGAGGGACAGTCTTATGGAGAACAGATTGAGTGGATTGGGCCTGTGCTTATTGGACTTTGGAAGAATAAGAGGCAACCTTATTGAAACATACAAGATTCTTCAAGGACTTGGCAGCGTAAATGTGGAATTTCTTCTCTCAGAGTCTTAGTTACCACAGAGAACTATTGGGGGTGGGATGGGGGAGGGCAATTAAGTATATTCAAGGTGGAGATAGACAGACTTTTAATCAGTAAGGCAATCAGGGCTGATAGGGAAAAGATAAGAAAGTGGAGGTGAGGATCATCAGCCATGATCTCACTGGTTGAATGGCCTACTTCTATTTCTATGTATTATGGTCTTAAAATAAAGCAGACAATTTCCTCAGACAAGGTGCAGAGCTGGATGAACACAGCAGGCCAAGCAGCATCATAGGAGCAATGGGGGTATGGAGTACAACAGCAAGCAGGTAGTTTCAAACTTGTCTAACTCACTTGTTAGACCTCTGCTGGAATATTGTGTATAGTTCTATGTGCCACAATATAGGGGGGACGTGAACTCATTGGAGAGAGTGCAGAAGCAATTTACAAGAATGGTTCCAGTGATGAGGAACTTCAATTATGGGGATAGATTGAAGAAGTTGGTACTGTTCTCCCTGGAACAAAGAACGATGAGAATTTTTAAAAAAAAAATCAACAAAAATATCAATAACTAACTAGGGAAAATGTTTGAAGATGTAATTGAAGAGTATATGATAAGGGGTCACTTTAAAACTGTCACTCAAAGAATGGAAAATATTAGCACAAGTTCTGAGGAAGGGTCACCGGACCCGAAACGTTAATTCTGTTTTCTCCTTCACAGATGCTGCCAGACCTGCCGAGCTTTTCCAACAACTTTAGTTTTTGTTCCTGATTTACAGTATCTGCAGTTCTTTCGGTTTTTAATGGAAAACATTGGAAGATCATGCACATTTTAAAAGTAAATGGGATAAAAATTCAAGCAGAGCAAATATACAGCTATAAAAGTGGGATTAATGCTACATTTTGAACACATATAGAACCTGTTGGATTTATTACTTCTGTAAAGTTTTGTTTTTAACCACTGTTTGTAAACTTCAATGGTATCCTTCTTGATCACCTCACATCACTAGTTTTCTCATTGAATATTAACCTTTTTAGAAAGACCAAATTATGTTAATGGAAATATTACAATTGTTCTGCTAGAAGGGATCCCAGGTTAGGGTGAGGTGCATCATAAAGGTACATCATTCTGCATTCATCTAATGCTAAAACAGAAATAGGCAAAAGATTCAGAAAAGAAGAATCAAAGAAAGGTTCAAATATACATACTTACACTAGAATTAGCCAGTTGAAACTACATATTACTTTCAATTCTAAGTATATACTACAACAGGCGTCAAATAATTATAACTCCAGATCTTATGGAAGCATATGTGCTACTATTATAATAGAATTCAGAATATCACCTACTCACCCCAAGTTTGTGGTTAAATCCTTTCACTTTGATGACTAGCCCATGTTCTTCAGCCACTAACTTATACTCTAATTGAGCAACATCAGCCTCATATGCAGGTTCAGCTAAGTTGTGAGCCACAATATTGACGAATAAGTCAAACAATACCAAGCTAGGGACAAAAATGGTTTCATATTACTTTTAAATCTCAGAAATCTGCTAGAAATACTGTAAGACTCAGAATTTATTACAGCTATTGCTCATAAACTCAGACATCATGAACAAATAAGCAAGAACAAGAGCATGAGCCTAAAAAGAAACAAACAGAAATGGCTGGAAAAACTCAGCAGGTCTGGCAGCATCTGTCGATAGACAGCAGAATTGTTTCAGGCCCAGTAACCTTTCTTCAGAATTTCCAGCACAGATGCTGCCAGACCTGCTGAGTTTTTCCAGCCATTTCTGTTTTTATTTCTGATTTCCAGCATCCACAGTTCTTGAGTTTTTGCAAAAATAAAAGAAATGGCTGCTTTCGCCCAGGAAATTCACTAATACAAGCCACTTAAAGTCTGCTGAGAAATATTTTTTGAAGTTTAGTCATTGGGAAAGAAATACCACAAAACTTTCCCCTGAACCATAAAGTTAGTTGAGAAAAAAATACTGAGTTGTTATTTTTGATTATAAATTATAAATTATACAATGTTTTGATGAGTTCTTGTGGTGCGGTGATAGTGTCCCTACCTCTAAGCCAGGAGGCCTGGGTTCAAGTTTGCAGTCAGAGATTAGCATCTAAAATATACTATTTATGAGGGTGTTGGAGGTAGATTCAATCATGGCATTAAAAAGGGAATTGGGGGATGTAGGGACAGTATGATGAGATGTATAGAATACATGCAGTGCTGTGTAGCATTCACACCAGTAAGTGACACTGATGGCACAAGGATGTTTGGACAGAATCCCAGTTATACCACAAGTTTTACTGTTAATGCTGTAAATGTTGAGATTTTTTCCCAGAAGTGTTGGCTTCAGTCTTTTATTGACAAAACTGGCAAAGAGGGATCTAATGCTGAGATAAAGCCAATGTCTTTGAATAAAGGTAATGAAATGGCTCGGCAGGGATACACCATCTATTGGCAGTAACAGTGGATCCACGTGAGTGCTCTCATAATAAAAGTGAGTTCCAGCATATGTCGTCCTTCTGGATGAGAACCATTCTAGTGATGTGTGCCTGAATTAGATATGCTCTGGCATTCATGATGAGGGTTTGGACTCCTCGGCTGGCCCTAGTTATCGTCCCTGCTCAGCATAGATACATCTTGGCTCTGCAATTTTCACTTCTTCTCCATTTTATCATCTCATGTGCAATATCGATTTTGTGCCTGACACGCCAAAGTCCACTACTCTCCAGACAGCTGCGTTAAGGAACACACAGGAGACCATCACAATACAGAAGACCCTTCAAGGTGTGCACTGCAGGGCACCACCCAATGGCTTAGATAGAAGTGCACCGCCAGAGACCCGAAACCTGTTTGACATGGTCCTTATGAGAAGATGCCTCTGTTTGTCGCACCTCTATGGTTATGTCTTAGGGTCACATTTAGGCATGAGGCCATCAATTCTTCCTTGTCCCAAAGTAACCACAAAGTTTGGGTAGTGTGAATGAGGAGCTGCAGCTTTCTGGACTGCTAGAGGATGAAGGTAGCATGACACTGGCAAGACACTGAACACACAAATGTGAAAAGCTCTTGTTGTGGTTGCTGACCAGTTGTACATTGAGGATGTGGAAGCCTCTAGTTGATCAATCTCATGGTTCTTGGTACTTTGATGGCAACGTGGGTGCAATTGATAATGATCCTGCAAGTTCAGCGAAGGCAAGTCCACTTCCTTTTGTGCTTGAAAGGGTCCATTCATTAGTAATGATATGTACTATTCCATTCTCACAAATAGGACACCAGTGCAGAGGTGGTGGTGCAATGGTGTTGTCATTCGACTAGTAATTCAGAGGCACAAGTAAAGCTCTGGGAACATGGGTTTGAATTCCACATGATAAATTGCAAAAGCTGAAATTAATTAAGAGTTCTTGAATCTCAAGCTCGATAGAGGCAAAGAAGTTCAATGTAACAATGATTTTCACAGAAACTGGCAGGCCACAGTGACTAGTCTTGGGAGGTCTGAAGTCTCCTCAACAAATGACGATCTACTGATTGCGCAATCTCCTGCAGCATTGATTCTCTGAAATATCATCTTCAGCATTAAGTTCTACGCTGAGGTATGGTCAAATCTTTCTCCTCAATTCTTGATCCATTCCTCTGCCTTCCTTATAACCAGGATTCAGGGTTGTATACTAGACCCAACCATCTTGCACTGCTTCATCAATGAACTTCAGTCCATCAGAAGGACCGAGGTGAGAATGTTCATACAATGTACAGAACCATTCATGACTCCCTAAGATAGTGATGCAGTCAGTGTCCAAATGCAACAAGGAGGTGGATAACAGCCAGGCTTAGGAATGATAAGTGGTAAACAACATTTGCAACACACAACTGCCATCTCCCAAAAGATAAAAATTGAAACATCTTCCATTGACAATCAGTGGCTTTACCCCCATTGCTAAACTCCCTATTATCAATATCCCAGGACTCACGATTGATCAGAAACTGAACTGGACCGGCCTTATGAATACTGGCTACAACAGCACTTGAGGTTGGGAAATCTGTGGTGAAGAACTCACCTCCTGACTCCAAAATGACTATTATATAAAAGGCACATGTCATGGATGTAATGGAACATTCTCCACTTGCCTCGATAACTGTGGCTCCAGCAGCTCACAGCTGATATAAAAATAGATGGGGTGGTAAGTGGTGAGGAGTATAGTCTTAGATTATAGGAGGATATAGGCGAGTTGGTCAGATGGGCTTATAAGTGGCAAATGAAAATCAATCTGATCAGCGTAAGGTGATGCACTTAGACAGGGCAAGGCAAGGGAATACACGGCAAACATTGGACACTGAAAGACCAAAGGTCAGCCGGTCCTTGGTGTACATGTCCACCAGTCCCTTAAAATAGCAAGACAGGTAGACAAAGTGTTAAGAATGGGATACTTGCCTTTATTAACCATTGCACAGAGTTTAAAAGCAAGCAGGTGATGCTGGAACAGTATGAAACGTTGATTAGGCCACAGCTAGAATATTATGTCACATTATTGGAGGAATGTGATTACACTGGAGAGGATGTTGCCTGGGCTGGAGAAGTTTGGTTGTGAACAGTGTTCAGATAAACTGGGGTTGTATTCTTGGATAAAGCAGACTGAGGGGATATGATTGCAATGTATAAAATTATGAGGAGCAGAGAAGGATGGACAGGAAGGAACATTTCCCTTTAAAGGAATCAAGAACCAGGGAGCATTGATTTAAGATAAGGGACAAGAGCATCAGAGGGAATACAGGAAGAAAATATCATCCAGAGAGTGGCAGGAATCTGGAACTAACTATCTGCAAGGGTGGCAGAGATAAAAACTCTCACAATATTTAAGAAGTACCCAGATGTGCATTTGCTCTGCCAAAGCAAACAAGGTGCAAGTGCTGAAAAATGAGATTAGAATAGTTAGGTGCTTGTTTTTGACCAGTGCAGATTCAATGGGCTGAAAGGCATTTTTCTGTGCTATAGACGTCTATGACTCTATAACAATACTCACTGAACTCGGCATCATCCAGAACTGACTGGCACTTCGTTTAACACATTCAATATTAGTCAAATCCACCACCTTTCACAGTAGCAGCAGTATGTACCATCTACAAGATGCACTGCAGCGATTTGAGGCTCCTCATACAGCACCTTCCAAACCCAAGACCTCTACCACTGAGAAGAACAAGGGCAACAGATATTTGGCAGTAATATTTGCTGCAGGTTCCCCTCCAAGCCACACACCATCCTGACTTGAAATGATACTGCACTCCTCTACTGTTGCTGTGTCAAAATCCTGGAACTCCCTCCGTAACGACACTGTGGGTGTATCTACATGACAATGACTGTAGCAGCTGAAGAAGGCAGCTCACCACTATCAGCCAAAGGGCCATTTAGGATTGGCAATAAATGCTGGCCTATCCAGCAATGTCCACATTCTGTGAATGAATACAAACACTGCATACAGAATCTTGGGCAAGATCATTCACTCGATATAGCATGGAGGCGACAACTTACTTGAGTAAAGCACTATTCTGACTTCGCACCAAACCCTGAACACTGATCTGTGCAAAGTTAACATAAGGAAGACTTCCCTTAACATACCCCAAATCACTGGCAGTTACAGGTGGTGGACAAGTATCAAAGGATATTTTTACTTTGTCTCCACAATATTCTTGAGCACTAGAAAAATACTTTTGCAGCTGTGTAGTACATTTTTCTCCCAGTTTTTTTTTTGCTGTATCACTGGTAAAATATTATTGCAAACATATGTCAGTCTTTTGCATTTCTAATTAATACACATGAAGCTGTGCCAAACAAGTGCTTACTAGTCAGTAAATTCCTGCATAACTAATGATAAGTAACAATAGCAGGACAGTTTGTTGGTCAGCCACAATATGGTTCCCAGTGCTAGATGAATAGGTGCAGGGTTAGCAGCAGGAAGAACAGTTGGCTGTAAAATAAGCTGCCAAGTCCAAAATTATGGCTGACACCAAGTGGTCAACTAGCATCATGGTGTCACAACGTAATTTGGGAAAAACTGAAAGTAATGTAAATATTTAGCCACAATATCAGTTAATTCATTTACTGAAAAACACAGTCATTCTCCGCCTCAGCTAATCAAATGTGTGATTCATCTAAGATGACTTAGTTGGTTGTTATATAAAATGCATGCATACTTCTCTGGACTTTTATGAACATGAGGCGATATCAAGTGGAATCGGACATAACCTGTAAAGTAAGAATGTGTGTGAATATCATAAAAAGCAACAGTGCACCTAATAATTAGCTGAAAATATTTACTTGTATGCAGGTTAAAAAACTAGAAAATACTGTAAAAGTAATATTAACAATTAAAGAGGATATAAATATCCACAAAATTTATGGTACAAGGCATAATTTTTACCATGGAGAATACACATTTCCCAATTTTCTTTAGAAACATCAAACATGCCACTATTAATTCCACCATACTGAACTTCATAGAATAACAATTTTTAAAAAAAGGTAAATAATGTTGACTTACGCTCTACAGACGCAGAAAGAACACAAACTTTGGAATGCAAGAAATGTGCTCACCAAAGTTACCATCAAACCACTGAAAACAGTGAAAAAAACCCAAAGCCATCTACTCAGGAAGGAATATGAAATGAAATAAGCCAACAATTCATCAAAAAAAAAGCAAAAGAGTAAAGGAATTTGCTCCTTCAATAAAATATAATGTCATAAAAATCAAATGAGTGAGATCAGGGAACTTAAAAATAATAATATGCTCTAGAACTACTGAGAAGTAAATGGACCAAACATTTATAATAGTCACAGCACTAGAACTGACTTCAATATCTTTTAGTTAAGGAGCAAAAAATTAACTGTATTTCTGCTTCTGATCCAGCAGACACTGCCTGTAGAGCTCAGGTATGGATTTCAAATACTTGTATCACGCTTGGCTGCAATGCCTTCACTGGGCTTACCAGCGATGCCTTCACTGGGCTTACCAGCTTGGTGCCAGGGTTAAGGACATTCTCTCTGGGTTGCAGAGTAACCTCCAAAGCAAGGATGAAGATCCGCTTGTTTTTGTGAATGTAGGTGCTAACACAAGTAGGACTAGGAAAGAGACTCTGGTTGGAGTTTATGAGTATGCAGGGTCTAAATTAGAAAGCAGAATCTAAAAGCATTTCAGGAGATAGTAGGAACTGCAGATGCTGGAGAATCTGAGATAACAAGGTGTAGAGCT